TGTAGCATTTCCCCTGAACTAATCGCATATCCGCAAATTCGTGAAAGGAAATTCAAAGTAAGTCACAGTTTGACAAATTATTGTTATTATTAACAAGGGCTATCCACCTGTAACTATCTGTCAATGACATCAAACATCATTGCCGCTGTGCCTTTTCATCAAAAAATTGTAGAATGTAACTTTTTTCATATCCAAAATTTTCGTAATTTCAAACAAAGATCGTAATTTTTCTTTTTGAATGCTTAAGTATTCCAATAGGCTGCCAATCCAACGTGGGATTTTTTCAAAATAATGTTTAATAACAAAGTTGAAATTCGATCTTCAACTGTTAATCTCTTCTAGAAATTTTCGAAAAAAATGTTTCAATATTTGTCTGGTACTCCCCAAGGGAGCCTCTATCACCCCTTAACAGGAATGTCGCCAGTTTTGAATCACCCTGTATATAGGGTGTTCCATTTAAAATAAGCAAGTTGATACCTACTTCCGGGATAACCGGAAGTGTGGCCATCTTGAAAATATTTTAGACCGTTTGCGCCCAATGACTTTGGCACACTGTCCAATTTTCAAGTTTCTCTTCATAATAGGTTGCCAGATTTCGATCGTGGCGGTTCCCGGTGGGACACCCTATTGTATTCAGTATTCAGATACATCCTCACTATGAACGGAAGCCACGAATTTAGCAGCAGAATAGTAATTATGATTTCTATCAAGCATAATATAGTCTATAATAATATAATTCAGCAACTCAAAATTTTGTTAGTTTTAATAAAACATTGGTTTTCAAATATTACATTTTTCGAACAAGATTCATAATTCTGTCATTTTTTTAAAAGATTGTGTGGCTACAGTATTGTCGCGTGTCGACACAAAACGACATCCATAATCCATCAATCGGAAGGAAACGTCGATACTTGCAACTTTAAATCTCAACCATTAAATGCTCTTGACCTAGTTTGATCAAAATAGGATACTGCTTTGACAAATAAAACCGTTCTGGAATGGACTTACTTATTCTTATTTGGAATAGAATTTTTATATTTTCGACTCAAGTTTACATTTTATATCGAATACAAATTTTATAAAGAATCCACAGAAAACTGTTTTTTAATACTGCTCTAAGTTTTACAATTTAAAGTAATGCGCTTTAGATAATAAAACAGGTCTTAAATTAATTCACTTGATATATATATAAATAATCTTTATTTCCTACAGAAAAAGGCTAATTCACTTGATTATTTTATAATTAGCTAGTTAAACACTTCAACCTGAAAATCTCCTTTTTAAAAAATATTTTATTTTTGGAATTACGAGTTACAGCATGGATATTTATATCTTCTTCATGTAAAAGGACAAAGTCCGGTCAATTCTGTCATCAGTCTTCCTGTAATCCTGATGTACATCGGTTAAGGGGTCTGCCAGCTGGGCGCATTGTTTCTGGTTTTTGTGTTTTGGCCTACTTTGCAGTCTGGACTCATTCGTTCTATATGGTCTCTCTAACACCGGATTATCTGACAACGTTCTGCACTCCCAGTTCTCGTCTGGTGTTGTCACTGCATATCTTGTCGTACAATGTGGTCCCTTTTATTGTTGTTAGGACTTTCATCTCCACTGTTCTCATTTTTTTTGGTAATAGACGTTTCAGTTCTTGTCACCGCGGCGTAGCTCATCATGGGCCTGACGCAAGTCTTATAAATTCGTATCTTGCTCTCTGTGGTCATATATTTGTTCACCAAAATTATTAGGAGTTCGAATTAGTTTTATAGGTTTTCTAAGATATGGCGGTATAAACGGATATTGCATGTGGGCACTCCACAACTATATTCGCGTTAAAGCACTATATTATAGCTTGGATTGTAAGTATGTGTCATCTTGCGCAAGTGTAAACATCATACAT